TCATATCATCCTGTCTTAGATATATTTTCATTAAAAGATGAATTCTCGAGTCTTAATTTTCTAGAAGTGAAATATAGATTTTAAAACGTGGATTATGTGAAAATCAATGACGAAATTGTTTCATTGAACTGTTTCCATTATTTTGAACAATATTCCCTTGAGTTAGCTTTATCATATTTTTATGAAATAATAAATGAAATCATTGTAAATTATATTCCAAAATACATTATTTATTTAGACACATATATATCGTGGTACTCAAAAGAACTAAAAAAGTTATTAAGAGATAAGTATTAAACTCATTCAAATTATAAACTATCAGGTGATGATGCAGATTATTTGATTTTTTCATAAATTCATAAAAAATGTGAAGTTAGAGCCGCTGATGGTTATGAATCTTATATCCTTAAAATTGAATCTTCCCTAGGTTGTGATATAAAATCATTTTGGAAATTTAGTAACTCAGTCAGAGAAATCAGTGGCCTACCGAATGTAATGACATTTACAGATTTTCAAGCTGAAAATGGTTGATACGTTTGCAACATATTTTGAATCTGTATATGTTGAACCTGGGGTTGATAAGTGTGGCAATGAAATAGTTCTTAATTATACATACTCAAGACACAAATAAATCTCAATTAGAAATAACTCAAGTGGATGTCTTCAGGGCAATTGAGAAGCTGAATGGTAAAATTGGTCCTGGGCCAGATGAACAAAGGTTCATTTCCATCTATTACCAAGAGTACCATACCTAACCTCTCTCTATTAATTGTTACTAATAAACTATCTATGTATTTTAGTAATATACTTATTGATGAACAACCACAAATTTACTAACGTTTTAACACTATGCTTTGGAGAAATTAGAGACTAGTGTACAAGTTATACAGATTTCACCAAAGTGTTCTATACTATAAACCACAAAATATTATTATAAAAACTAAAATATCTTGGAATTCATAGACCATTATTGAAATGATTAGATTGACTTCAGAATGTGAAATATAAATCCTTTATATCGAAAGACACAATTGTTAAATCAGGTGTTCCACAAGGTTCACACTTGGATCCACTATTGTTTACATCAATGACATAAAATTGAAACTTCCCTCATGCTTATTTTTAATGTACTCTAATAATCTGAAACTATATTCTGTAATAAAATCATTGCAAGAGTGTATTACTTTATAACTGAACTTCAACTCATTACCATAGTGTTATTACACTACACAATAAACTTCATCTAAATTTATTGAAATGTAAAACCATGACTTTTTCTAGACTGAGAAATAAGATACATTTCCAATATTCAATAAATGGCCACATATTAGAAAAGGTTTCACAAATGAGGGATTTGGGAGTACTCTTTGACACCAAATGAAATTTACAGATCATATTGATCAAATCATAACAAAAGCAATCATATGCTTACATTCATTAGAAGAATGACTTCAAATTTTATGAACCCAAACTCTTTTAAAACATTACATCTAACATTGGTGAGACCATTTTTATTGAATTCGTCCTCTATGTGGTCACCAATATATGAAAATAATTCCAAAAAATTAGAAAGATTACAACATAAATTTTTAATGATTGCTTTGCCAAAATTGTAATGTTCTTTCTGGTCATGTATTCTTTTCTTACTCTCAACAACAAGACACATCTATTATAATCGCCAAACATCAGAAAATTCATTGAACTTACATTGTACCTTTGTGAGGAGAGAGCTTGGCAACTTAACAGTGATGCCATCTTTTGACATTCATAAAAACTGTTACCTCAGAAATATTTGCGTAGTGCTTTTGTAAAGGGTCACCACTTCATACCTTTCTAATACTACCTGTCTACATCTCATGTTTTTCAAATTGGTGCTTAGTCACTATGTAAGATTAAGTACATATTAAAACATGCACTTCCTGCAGCAAAATGCACTTTCCTCAAGCAAAAAATTTGCATTATCCAAAAAATTTTGAAAATTTCACAGGGAATTCATAGAAAATACCTCCAGAAATTGACGTATCTTAATGAACTACAGACATAGTATCATCTTACTCCTGACTTATTTACTAACTTTCAGCTCAAAAACCTTATCTAATAATATTATACATGACACATAGCCTACATTATGCCATTCAGTCTTCCTAATTTCAGCATGTATCCCTTCAACACCTGTAACAATCTTAACCATCTCTGGAACCGCAATAATAGACCATAATCCTGCCGTGTGGCCAGTGTTACAGCACAAAACCTTAAAGAAGAATGTTATGAGTCAGCCGAGAGCTTTCACAAGAATTTTGGAAGTAAAAATTTGAGATTGTATTGTTGAGGTAGTAACAAGTCATAAGAAAATTCTTTAAATGTGCAATCTAAATGCACAAATGGATTGTAATCAGAACAATAACACAGTAGGTCCATATAGAGAACAAGAATATAACAAAAACGAATAAAGATTGATTAATCGGTGACAGTTGCATCATAATATCATAAATGAGTTCTACAAACCCAAAGAAATACACAAGCATTCTTGGTTACAACCAATGAATAATATCACTCACGGATCAACTTAAAACAGCAATTTGGTAGTCTTATCAATGATTCAACAAGTTTGCAATACAAACTTTGATCAGCAAACAAATTGCAATTAATTTAGACTAGACCTGTACACAAATGCTCTCAAAAAGTAAAACATAGTGTTACAGCATGCAACATATGAAAATGAAAAGCTAAAAATGGGTGGACTAACAACTGAACAAATAAGTTATTTGAAGAGAAGAAAGACAAGGCTAACCACAGGATTGCATCCAAAACCTCTAAACAAGTACACAAAATCAATAACCCTAAAACAGAATGGTAATTACAAGATGTATTAGTAGTGAAAAGACACCTACGCTCTTTCGGTTATTGAACTATTATTCTTTAATAATCATGTCATTTTCTACATTAATTACTAGAGTTGTACTGGAAACTGCAGCTAAAATTTGTATGGTGCAGTTTCTCTATTTCCTTCAGTGACAATCATTCAGAACATGGAATATTTTCAAACTCCATTGAGTTGCTTGATTACATTTGAACTTCCTACTTTAGCCTCACCACTACATCTTACCTATTTCTTTGGTAGCATAATGCACAATATATAGTTAACATAAAGTTTGTTAGCTCATGTAACAATTCTTTATTACTTCAACTGCTCAGGGTGTCTATTCATACACCCATTTAAGTGAACTGCATTCATAATGAACACATCTCATCATACCCTACTGCTTTTTGCATGTGAGCCCAGTAGCATAATGAAATGAATGCAGGTCTGCCTGCAAAACTTTTTATCTGGGCCCCCTTTATGAATTTAATGTTGAGGATATTTTCTTTAAACACGCATACTATACGTCAGCAACACATAATGTCATTCAAGTCCCATTAACTGAAACATTAAACAAGTCAAGATGATGCTTCAATCCCCTAGTCCTAACTCCTTATTGAAAAGCAATTTTGACAATGCTCTCACCTGAGCGTTATCACATAAAATGACAAACTCCAAACCTAAACAACACCAACAATCAAAAGACAGTTTGTGTGTCATGTTCATTATTCACAATGGTAAAGTGATTATATCCAATAGTGGAAAAATCTGTCTTTATTATTTAATTTTATGAAATTAAGACTCTTATAAAACTGAACAAAATGTAAATTGTAAATGAATTGCTTACCTTTATTGATTTAGAATCAGGATTACATAATCTACCAAAGCAGAAAAAGTGTTATTTTGGAAGATGCTGTTTTTAATGTGTTTTTGAATAAATTATGCAAAGTATCAAGTAATAATAATTTACACTTTACAATTTCAAAACTTTCGGCCTAATATTCCTTCTTTTATCTGGGCCCAGCAGCCTTGCGGGCCTGAACATTACTCCTCTGAGTAAGTCTCCCTTTTTACCTGCAACACCCTCATTACCAGAATTCTCACTTGATTTTTGATAATTGTTGATAGCACTATTACCCCTGACACACTCAGGCCCAATCCTCAAGCGATAAGCATTGCTATTATCCGAGAGCCTGCCCTCAGCATTATCTTAGATTATTGATTTCACTAAAGACCTTTCTAGATGCACTGAATTTCATTTTGTTTCGTTTCTCTTTTCATTTACTAGACCCATCTATAAGATCTTGTTGTGAATTCCAATCTGGAAATAACATCTGATTCCTAACTACCTTGATTTTTAAAAACATTTTCATATTTCTGAAAACCATCTCTATTTTTAATTTCTCTCCTTCTCTCTCCATAATTGTCTTTTTGTTTAATTCGTCAATCTTTTAATTGATTATGAACTTTATAAATTATTGTCTTTAGCTGTGATTTTACAAGCAGCAGAAAAGTTCTTAAGTTTTCTAGACCTCAATAGTTCTGCAGGTGATTCTCAGTCCATTACATCTTCTTCCTGATTCTTTCATTCGCATCCCTTCCTTGCTCCCATTCTTCTGCTTATTGCTCAAAATCAACTATTCAGCAACTCCCACATTCTTTTCAGCAAGTCCATCAGTATAATGGTCTTCAGTTCCCTAACATTCAATTCCCCAAATTTGTGCAGACTCAAGTTCTGGTTCTCTGATAAGGTTTGGGTTGACATCTCATTTCTAACAAAATGTTAAGATTGTTAGTTCATGTAACAACTCTTTATTGCAATATTGGTGTCCACTGCCCGGGGTCTGTTCAGAAATTCCTTGTTCTGATAGTTTGCATTCACCACTGAATATATCTCTCAGTAAATATACTAAAGTATTAAAGCATTGTATATGATAAAACAAGAAAAACAACATATTTTTTAGAGCCAAATAACTCTTATGATAAATGGGTAGAAAATTTATCGCTAGTCTCTTGCATAATTAAACTATTGGAGGTTATTACAATGATGTGAATAATGAGAAATCACTACTACTTTCTTGGTTTAACAATATGGCACAACTGAAATGTCAATAAAGTGAAATAAAACTAAATCTCTAACCTTGTGAACAGCTCCTTTTGGTAATTTGCGAACTGGGGCTGAAGGCAAATCTTTATCAGGAAATTCAAAAACAGGAACCAAATCTACTGAGTATTCAGATAACCCCAATTGAGGCTGTGAAACCTTCACAGTGAAAGCAGGGCCAGAAGAACTTCTCTTTATCTAAAAAGGAAGAAAGGAAACAAAAACAAATCTATTAAGATTTCCAACCTTCAGATGTATAATATATAATATATTCTCCCACTTCTGACATAATTCCATGAAGAGGAATTAAGAGCTTTTTAAACAATCACCTTATTTTACATTTCTCACATCCAGGATTAAGAGTTCTTCAGTTTAGACAGTCTTCAGACTGCGACAAACTTAAGTTCGAGTTCGGATATTAATAAAACTTTGTTCACTTTTCGTATGTTTCTAGGAGTAATCTTTGTATTAATGTGTGGAGGAACACACATCATGCAAAAAGCAATCTTCTAGAAATAGATGTATGCTTGCTTTTCTAGTTCTTATATTGATATTCAACATAAGAATGATTGTTCCCAATTTTTTACAGATAAGCAGGGAAAAAAATCATAATTTAAATGTTGCAGAAACTGCTGTAAATTAACAGGAGACCATTCCAAGTTGAAAAAGAAATATATAGATGAGAGGCTGATATATAGATGAGGTCCTGTCCAGAAATTACCAAAATTTTTATATGAGGAAAACTATTGAAATAAAAAAAAGCATTACATTTATAATTAAAATAAAATATGAAACTTCTTTCTTAAAATGGCACACAATTGGAAGATTGCTTAAGAAGCTATTTGGTTCCCTCATCATTTCAAATTTATCAGTTTCTGAACATCGCAAACCACATTGTTACAAGAATACAAGTGATGCAATGTCTTTATACAGAAAAAATGTAAGAGTTATTTTACCACAGTATTTTCTAGTGAAACACGATCTAAAGCTTGGGTGAATACTCCTTGCATCCACTGCATAAAGCCTGTTCTGAGAAGAAACTTAGTTTTGGGGTCAATCCAGGATTTCAAAATTCTCTCTCTGAAAAGATAAACATTTATGAATAATCTATCATTTTTATATTGCAAAAATTTATGGAAGTGTAATCCTGATTCAGGTATGTGTTCTTTCAGTCATAATTACAACAATTTTGGTTAGTGTTCAATAGAATGCAGTATTAGAACAAATAATTTTTTTGTTGTAAGATTGATCTCAATAGATTCAAGCCATGTTCTGCACAAACAAACAAAAAGAATTCATGTATCTTTTATTTAACACATGGTATTTTCTTGTAATTTGTGCCACAGTTTGTATTTACATAAGGAAATAACAAAAGCGCGCTGAGGTGGCTGCCTCTGGTGGATCAGGTTACCCTAGCCATTCAGGGGCCGTGTTCTGGCATCTCCACACTGACGCAGGCCTGTGATGGCAACGGATAATGAAGTTCCCCCTCGAGTCGACCCCACCAAAAAAGGACACCTTTGAGAGTATACATAACTAAGATACTGAATGGCAAAATCAAAGTATATTAGTGTTAAAATATACTCATTGTGGCCAGTCTGTTTCCAAGTAAGACTGTAATGAAAATGGACCATGTACTATGCTTGGGCTTATGAATAGAAATATCAAGTAAATGAAACAAGCAACCAAAATCTCACGATTACTGCTATTGTATTGGATTCTTTATTTTTATTATTAGTAGTAATAGTAGTTGTATTAGTATTATTATTAGTAGTAGTATAGTAGTAGTATTGTGGTTGTTGTTTTTGTTATTAATTATAAAATACTTACAAATTTGGCACATCATTAAGATGTTTCTTGATTTGTGATTCAGCAAATGAAATTACTTTGATTTTCACAAAACCTGGTTGTTTTTTATCATAAAATATCTGAAATAGAAAGCAACATTTGTCAGTATAGTCACTCCACTAATTCATTACTTTGAAATAAGTTGCATCAGCCAATAACTATCTAGTATAAAATTTTAGTAACATACTTTTTGACACACATATTTGAGGTAAGAAAGAAAAGGAAAAGTTCACAAGATTTCTATTCTGTTGACAAAATATATTAACTTTCATTTGCAAAATATTCATTGGGATATTCAAGCTTTTGTACAAAACCATTCATCAGTTTAAGATTATGAAACAAATATTCACCTAAGTGTTTTACCACTGAGAACATCTCTTAATATAATTTATTAAGGAAAGATGACAGATTATTTCATTTTATAAGAAACCATGGGCAGAAAAAACTGAGTGTATTACTGCTGGATAAGGAATAACCCTCTAGAAGTACATCAAAGGGATTTAATACAAAAGAACTTGCAGATTATTGCATATTTAGATTGACAAGTACACACAGAACCTGAAAAACACATTACATTGCAACATACTTTACTGTTGTGCAATAACTCAGAAACAATGCATCCCTGTAAGGGATACAAGTTATATTTTCAATACCTTTATCTACAAGATAAGACCATTTTGAAAACTCTATTAAACATTTTTATCTGGCACTCCATAACACATATTGCCAGAAAAGTTGGAAGTTCAGCTCTAATTTGAAGTTATTTTCACTTTTAAAACAATTATGAAAAAAGTTCTATTTCTTGGGGATTGCAATTCTTTTTGAAAACTTTTTGAGGCCTTTCTGTTAGAAAGGGTACTCTAGCAGGATGGAATGGTAAGTTCTGAAAAAGAACTCACTGTTTCATCCACCAGGGGAAGGACTGCACTCTATTCCCACATAACTTATATAAAAGTACATTTTGTAATATAAAACACTTGAATTAAATTTTTGTATTTCCAAATTAACAAATACAGAAACATGTGGGGAAGTTTTGGGAGAGCATTTGGGGGAACATTTGGGAGAAAATTTGGGGAATATTTGGAGAACATTTCTCAACATTTCTGGCTACATTCCAGATACAAAGGGAACATGAGAAGAAACCAGTGAACATGCAAGAGAACACATGAGGAATAAGCTAGAGAACAAGTTGTGGACATGTGAGTATACATGTGGAGAACAAAAGAGGGGAATATATTGGAGAACATGCTGGGGTGGAAACATGGAGAGAAGCTTTACTAGCTGCTCAGTGGTGGATCCAGAGGAAGGGGGGCATGCCCTCCTCCTAAGGCCTGGCTTTTTTGTTTGTTACCTTCTTTTACTTGGCAAAATAAGTAACTTAGAATTTAAAAAGTCTGTTTACAAATATTGGTACCTCCAAAAAAAGGTACGTTTGACGTCAACTTGAAGAGTTTAATAAAACCAAATTTAATGTAGAAAACGAAATCCAACACTTTGATCCAACAATTTCAATTTAAAGAATGGGGAAATTTTTAAAAAAATATATAAATACCTTGCATTCCGCTGGCAAAACAAATATAAGGTTTATATCAAACTCATCCGGTTTGCTTATTCTCAGATTTTCATAAAAACTTCCTGTATAAACATTGTTCTTATAAAGAAACTTAAAAACATCATTGTTCTTCATTTGTTTAACAATGCATTCCAGCACCTGGCCAAAAGTACACAAAATGCAAATGTACAGTTCTGATAAGTAACATGTTTTTATTTAACAATTATTTCTATTATCAACATAATTTAAAAAATATTTTTTTTGTATACATTACAAATAGTTCTCAGAGTACAAAATATTACAAACCTGCTTTAAATGATCATTGTAGCACTTCTTGTCCTTATCAGACAGTCTTATTGCTGAACTTGTAATTTCTTGTAATGCAGAATCTAATGCATTATATTTTTTTTCATTCATTGTTGAAATGATATATCAGAAACGTTAAAAAGACCTTAAATTATAATTATTAAAGCAATTGACTATGGTATCTTGAATAAATATATTTGAACGATAAATTATTAATAATTCATAAACAAAAAAGTAGAATATATTAAAAAAAATATAATCACTCATATTTCAAACATTGTCACCAAATGGAGCAGTAGCTAAAAAAGTTCCAATTAGAGAATGTAGACAAAATTCTATTAAACTGAATGCAAATTACAAACCATTACATTATTCATGCAATTTGGTTGCATCAATATTTTCTAAAATATTTAATATATAACATTGTACAGCAATATATAATTGCTGAACAATTATTGCTGTAAAATTGAATTGAAATCTTTCACTAAAAAAATGCATTGAAATTTCTTCAACTTACCTAAAGATCCTTCAAATTATCCAGAAGCACTAATTTAGAAGTCCTTTTCTTCTTCAACAGACTTCCTAGCTGCAAGTTTAAACCCCCGAAGAACAATGAAACAAAATAAGATAACAATTCCGATAAAATGATAAATAAAATAAAAATGCAAACATTCACTGACAGGAGTTCTTATTATTCGACGAGAAATTCGTATTTTTCTATATTCAAGTACTCTTTATTCTGCGCTTGTTCTGCATCTAATTCTAAACACTAGTTACATGAATGTACTGACGTGTCTCATCCCGATTTGTTGTAAAGTGAGCAGTCCATTGAGTTAAACTTTCTTTTATAATAATATGCGGAGCATGCGCACAATGAAAATTGTAGGGAAATTCTCCTCTTGAAACGAACGCGGCAGAGGATACTTGCTGGGGAACCCCCGAATTTGGAAACGCCAACATAATAGTATACCCGCAAAACGAATAATCGGTAATTTACAACGATCCAAAAAGGTGTATTGAAATCACACAAATCATTAAAGTCGAACTTTACACTTATTACGACGCACAGCCACAGATATTGTAATAACTATTCTGCTTCTATTATATACGCCACGTACAATGAGGTTAGGAATACAGTGACTGTGGTTGTATAGTATGTAGTGGCATTACTTGAAGGAAGAATACGTACCAATGAAATCGCATTGATATGACGTGTTAGAAAGAGAAAGAAAGTAGTCGTGTGTTGCGCAAGTTGCGACATAACCAGGACACAAAGAAATAACTCGAAAAGAGCCACAGTTTCAAAAACTGTCGAATTTATTGTAAAGTCAAATCTTAAAAGTTTACATTTTTCTAAGAACTTCCACTTGATTGAAATTGGAACAAATTCGTTTTAATATACCTTCTCATATACAATTAGTTACGTAGTACACAAAAATTATTGTAATGCCAGAAGATGCCTTTTTTTTTTTTTTTTGACAAAAACGCACAATTCATGGGTCCCTAATCCCATGAAGGTCGCAATTTCCTGATTCTATGGGGAGAAAATTACTTTTTGTATTACTACCTTTTGAAGTCAGAATCCAGATTTTTTTGGGTCATTGATACTGAAAACATCGGCATTCTTTCTACCAGTCTTCAATTGACGCGTTTTCAAGCGCCGGGCGGCGTTGAGCGCTTTGCGCTTCCGGAGTAATCCTCCATTAATTATCATTATCATATCAGTCACGTCTCGTCGCAGTCAGTTGTCAAGAGGACCGCCAAGTAGTGTCTCCGCGTACGCGCTTCCTACTACTACTACGCGCCTCTGCGTCACTACTCAGTGGCCAGATTTGGGAAGGAATTAGGATTGGGGTAGGGTTTAGGACACTTCACAGGGGTTTTGGAGTAGCCCCAGTGAAGCATGCAAACTCATTTTGTCGTTACAAATTTGACAGCCTGCCTGGCTTTTGTTAAAATCGACATAACAGAAAGCGTCTGTCTCAATAATTTCCCCTTATTACTGGGTAGTCCAACGTATACAAGTCGAAACATACCTTTCTTACCTAGGGAGTTTTTTTTTAATTTATTTATTTTAACTGTGGATTGTATATGATAATCCAAGGGTCCGTACATAATTCAGCTGTGTTCATGAGGAAATTGACTTTCATGTTTCAAACTTCACACGCTTTTAAGCTGGGTAAACGGGACAAAATCGCTCCAAGATTGTAATAAAAATGTTAAAATTTTAATTAAAAAAAAAATATTAAACTTGGTTTTAATTATTTTACACGAATTGCTTACGTTTTATTTGTAATCGTGTTCCCAAAATTGATAAGGAAATTTAGGGAGGGGGTGGAAATCCTCCAACACGTGCTGTAGCCAGAATCCATGTTTTGTTGGATCCTTGACACCGAAATATTGAATGGCGGCAAAACGTCTGCCTGTCCGGCTGCGAACACTGCACTCGATTTTCTCAAAAATTGATATTCTCGAATTGATATGATCGCGGTCCCTTGAATTTCAAACTGATATTTTAATTTGAGATACTTTGCATGAAATCCCCGGAACATTTACAATTTTTTTTTTTTAAATTGCTCCAACGCTTTTTATTAAATTTTGTTGTTGGATAGTGTGAAGGACGTTTAAGAGAATGGTGCAGGTCTAGTTTTCGTTTAAGTACGGTATCGTTTAGGTATTCACAGTAACGTTTAAACACCACTATCTTAAAAACGGCCACCTATTTTTTCAATGAAAATTGCCATTTAGAAAATGAGTTTACTCTTCTTTAATTTTCTTAAAGTAATAATTCGGTTCTACTACTAGAAAAAATTGAGAGATTAAAAAAAAATGATAGATTGCAGCTGGCAAGAGGATGGGGCAAGTCAGATTAGCTAGCCCAGAGCAAAGAAAATAGAAAAATAATACGAGAATGTCTGTGCCATTCTATAGCACCACTAGTTTGGGTTTTAATATAACAAAAGTACGATTTTTTTCGAAATCTGCTCCAATTTTCTTCTTTAAAATTTTATTAGAGATATGCTAAATGTACTCTATAGAAAGACATACGCCATTTTCTTCTGTTCTTTTATTTGTTCCAAAAATTACAAAAATTTAATTTTTTTGACAACTCTTTCATGATAATATTTACACGAAGTACAATGTCTGTACCTTATTGGATTTGTTAAAAACAAGTGCTTGTAATGTTGTCTTTTGAATTTTTTCGAAACTCAAAAGTTTCCTGTGAAAATGAGATCAAATGTCCAAAGACGCCCAAAGATTTTAACTCTTCTATTTTTTTCGTATTATTTTACGAGAGAGTGTTCCTACAAAACTGCTATTCCTCTATAGCACGGGTGTTCAAACCTTTTTCTTCCACGGCCTAGCATAGGCCTCCTAAAGATTCAACCCAAATGAGTAAGTGATATATATGCTATTTTACTTCTCCATTTTAATTGGGAATTAAAATAACAGATAGCACATTTTATTCAACTTTTAATTTACTGAAAAAATTATCCTAAAATTAGCGGGGAGGATGAGCTTATTTATTACTATTTGTTCAAACCTGGGTTCAACAATTGAAACTGCGATTCGCGACTTCCAATTCTTTTACGACGTTCAATTTCGATCTCAACCTAACACAAATCGAACACAACAGAACACAGCGCGCGTGGGCACAGGAACTTTTGATCTGTGTGGGAAGGAATATTAAATATCCTCGACGCGCGCTAGGGATGTACGTCGATGCTAAAGGCGCCCCAGAAGCTTATTAGTAATGAACTTGACTATTTCAATTAATCCATAATTAATAAGTAAAATAAATCGTATATATTATAAATAACATATAATACGATAGTACAAAGTTATTTTATGTACATAAATGACACATGGATTAAAGTAAATCAAATCTAAAGATTATTTTTAACGAATCACCGCGACGCCCCTGGGAGCCGCGTCGCAGTTTAAAAACCCCTGCTCAATTGTTTGACTGTCTCTAGGTCTAGATCCTTTCTTAAAAATCGATGTCAGGTTAGAAGTTCGCCACTCCAAAGGATCATCTCCTCCATTCATTCACCTTGAAAACATGTGTTTGAGCATTTGGTGCAGTTTAAATCTTCCGTATTTCAGTAGTTCTACCAAGATTTCCCCGACCAGATGACTCATCAGATTTCATTGTCTAAAGCGCTTTTTTAATCTTCAAATGTCAAATTACCCTTTTCTCAAATTTCACTTCCTTCTTTGACTGGAAATTTCTGTTTTCTTGCAGCAGTCCTAAAATTATATATTCATATTACACATGAATTTTTCTCTGAAACATAAGATAACCAGACATGAAAAAACAAAAAACCAGAACATTTTCATGACTAAAAATAGGGATTAAACAGGACATATACACGTATCAAAAAGCAACATTACACACAGTAGTAAACTACAATTTTTAAACATTAATGAAAATGAATTGCACGAAGAAGAAAAAATCACAATATTAAATTTTCAAAAATGTATTAGAAATTACTTTTTGTACAAGTGGTACATCATTTGCAACGTAATCTGGCAAATTCGATTTTTTTTATTTTCACTTTTAACCATTATAAAGCTAGCCCGTATTCCTTAAGATTGCTTGCTAACACTAAGCCGCACAGAAACTCACAAAGCAGAAGGTTCTGAATATTGAATTTCTCGGCATTGCCGGAGCTAGACACTTTTGAGCAAATTCATCAATAATTATAGTGTAATCTAAAACGCTGAGAAAATTTTCTTCGATACACAATAACGCTAAGGAGTTCAGTCGATACTCTGTCATTGTAGAACGCAAATAA